TATTTCCATTTACTTTTACAAGCTTTTGCAGCCTATTTTCTCACTTACCCTTCTGAGAAGGGCAAGTGAGAAAAAAGCTGGGTGAATGTTTGGCAGTTCACTAAAGCTACCTCCCCATACATCTAGCCCAAATATTCTATTTCTTAAAACTTCTGAATTCAGTTTAAATTCATATAGCTGTGACTCCACCGAGGTTAATTGCTTTAGACAAGACCTTCCTATGCTCACAGAACAGGAACTCTTTTTGAAGGATGTGAAAACAGATGTTAATATGACTCAAAAGATCTTCCCAGTCTGTAATGCAATAACGTGCTGCTTCTCATTCTTCAACTCGGACAAGATGTTCCTTTACTATGGATGATGCAATGTATAAATTTGTTCCTTCACAAAGGCTTCATCTAATTTAAACAGCAGCAAAGCCAACTGTATGTTTTAGTTTTTAATCACAGAATACCAAGGGTTGGAAGGGACCTCAAAAGATCATCTAGTCCAACCTCCCTGCAAGAGCAGGATAGCCTAGAGTACATCACACAAAGAACTTGTCCAGGCGGGCCTTGAATTTCTCCAACATAGGAGACTCCACAACCCCCCTGGGCAACCTGTTCCAGTGCTCTGTCACTCTCACAGTAAAGAAGTTTTTCCTGATGTTCACATGGAACCTCCTATGCTCCAGTTTACACCCATTGCCCCTTGTCCTATCACTGGACATCACTGAAAAAAACCTAGCTCCATCATCCTGACACTCACCCTTTACATATTTGCAAACATTGATGAGGTCATCCCTCAGTCTCCTCCAAGCTAAAGAGACGCAGCTCCCTCAGCCTCTCCTCATAAGGGAGATGTTCCACTCCCTTAATCATCTTAGTGGCTCTGCGCTGGACTCTTTCAAGCAATTCCTGTCCTTCTTGAAGTGAGGGGCCCAGAACTGGACACAATATTCCAGATGTGGCCTCACCAAGGCAGAATAGAGGGGGAGGAGAACCTCTCTTAACCCACACCCTTTCTAATACACCCTACGATGCCATTGGCTTTCTTGGCCACAAAGGCACATTGCTGGCTCATGGTCATCCTCCTATACATCAGGACCCCCAGGTCCCTTTCCCCTTCACTACTGTCCAGCAGGTCAACCCCCAACCTGTACTGGTACATGGGGTTGTTCTTCCCCAGATGCAAGACTCTACACTTGCCCTTGTTGAATTTCATCAAGTTTCTCCCCGCCCAACTCTCCAGCCTATCCAGGTCTCGCTGAATGGCAACACAGCCTTCTGGTGTGTCAGCCACTCCTCCCAGTTTAGTGTCATCAGCGAACTTGCTGAGAGTACACTCAGTTCCCTCATCCAGGTCATTGATGAAAATATTAAACAGCACTGGTCCCAGCACTGACCTCTGAGGGACTCCACTAGTCACAGACCTCCAGCTAGATTCTGCCCCATTGACCACTACTCTCTGCCTTCTTCCCTTCAACCAGCTCTTGATCCACCTCACTACCTGATCATCAAGCCCACACTTCCTTAGCTTATCTATGAGGATGCTGTGGGAGACAGTATCAAATGCCCTACTGAAATCAAGAAAAACCACATCTACTGCTCTACCGTCACCCGTCCACCTAGTTACTTCTTCATAGAAGGCTATAAGGTTGGTCAAACATGACTTCCCCTTGGTAAAATCATATTGGCTGCTCTTAATGACCCCCTCATCCTTGATATGTCTAGAGATGGTGTCAAGAATAAGTTGTTCCATCACCCTTCCAGGGATGGAGGTAAGGCTGACTGGTCTATAATTACCCGGGTCCTCCTTCTTACCCTTCTTATAGACTGTCGTGACATTTGCCATCCTCCGATCCTCAGGCACCTCTCCTGTTTCCCACGACTTACCAAAGATGATGGAGAGTGGCCGAGCAATGACCTCTGCCAGCTCCCTCAGCGCCCGCGGTGTATTCCATCCAGACCCATTGATTTATAGATGTCCAGACTGCTTAACTGATCCCTAACCAATCCTCATCTACCAAAGCAAACTCTTCCTTTGTCCTGACTCCTTCTGGGGCTACAGGAATCTTGGGCCCCCAGGGAGAGTCTGCAGGAGTAAAGACAGAGGCAAAGAAGGCATTCAGCACCTTTGCCTTCTTTAAATCCTCTGTCTCCAGGGCACCCACCTCGTTCAACAGTGGGCCTGTATTGCCTTTTGTGTTAGTTTTATCCGCTATGTATTTGAAGAAGCCCTTTCTATTGCCCTTAACCTGACTTGCAAGATTAAGTTCCAAGGAGGCCTTAGCTGTCCTAATTGTCTCCCTACATCCTCTAACAACTGTCCTATATTCCTCCCAAGTGGTCAGCCCCTCCTTCCATAATCCATAGATTCTCTTTTTCCACATGAGTTTGCCCAGCAATTCCTTATTTAACCATGCTGGTCACCTAGCTCCCTTACTTGATTTCCTACCCACTGGGACACTCTGATACTGAGCTTGGAAGAAATGGTCCTTAAATGCTGACCAACTATCTTGAGCCCCTTTACCACCTAATACCCTTTCCCATGAAACTTCCCTTAGCAGTTGATCGAAGAGGCCAAAGTTGGCCCTTCGGAAATCCAGAATTGTGGCCTTGCTAGGTATTCTATTCCTCCCACACAGGATCCTAAACTCCACCATCTCATGGTCACTGCAGCCAAGGCTGCCACTGACCATCACCACTTCAACCAGACCCTCCTTGTTGGTGAGCAGTGCTCCTCTCCTAGTTGTTTTGTCCACCATTTGCATTAAGAAGTTATCATCAATGCACTGGAAGAACCTCCTAGAATGTGAATGATTGGCTGTGTAAGTCTTCCAGCAAATATCGGGGTAGTTAAAATCCCCCATGAGGACCAAGGCATGTAGTCGTGAGGCTGCTTTCAGTTACCTGTAGAAAGCCTCATCAACTCCTTCATCCTGATCAGGAGGTCTATAATAGACCCCCACAGCTGTATCACCTGTACCAGCCAGTCCCTTAATTCGTACCCACAGACTTTCCACTTGCTCCTCATCTGCCCCTGGAGAGAACTCAATACATTCTAGTCGCTCTCTCACATAAAGAGCAACTCCACCACCTCGCTTTTCTGACCTATCTTTCCTAAAAAGGACATAGCCATCCATGACCACATTCCAGTCATGTGAGCTGTCCCACCATGTCTCTGTAATTGCCACCAGATCATAACCTTTAGACCGCACACAGACTTCTAACTCCTCCTGTTTATTCCCCATGCTGCATGCATTGGTGTACAAGCATTTCAGGGAGCGAGCAGAGCATGCTAGTGGCACCCTTTAATAGGCAAGTATGATTAGATATTTCTCAAGAAATCAAGGTTTATCTAATTAAAACTGAAACTACAGAAATGTAGAGTTTTAGAACTTTTTTTCAAACTTTTTGTAGCCTCACAACAAAAAAAATTTCACTAAGGGGAACGCATTATAATGCCTTGCTTGTATCTACATTTCTCAGTATAAACCCAGTAACATCTCTCCAGCTCTTCACAAAATGCTTTTATTTTGGTAGGTTAGACCCTAATATTACTTTCTTGTTCCTTGCCAGGGGCTTTAGTATAGAAAAAAAATTCAACAGGTAACACTTCCTTAAGTAAACACAGCTTCTCTATGCATGGTAAATGACCCTACACCAAGTCTTCACTGCAAGCACTTAGCTCCCTCCCATCAAGTTAGTTCATTTACTGATGAGCTGATTGCTAAAGTAGACAGTACTACAGGCCAACATATCAGATGCACAGGTCATTGCTCTGTGCCCCTACCAGTATTAGTGAGTAGAAACCTGCATATACATACAAACACATGCACATATGTATTTATATCTGTTTAAATACCTAGGGAGATGCGTGTATATATATACATATATATCTTTCTCAAGCACAGTGAGATACTGTGGTCATTTTCATTAACTTACCTGATTTTGAGAGAATGCCCCACTAACCCCCAAATACAAGCAAAGACAGAATGCATCTCATAGAACACTTCAAGGCAATCCACTGGCACATTTTCAGGAGTCAGCAAACAGTCCAGCAGAGAACAGAATGTTTGCAATGAATAAATATGTGAAGAGAGTGACCTGGGAGTCTTACTGTGTAGGAATTTGACAGTGACCTCAAGAAGGTATTTAGAATTTAAGTAGTGAGACTGCAACTCCTTGATGTGCTTCCTTTTTGCCTAGGAGCTCCTTTCACAGGTCAAAGGCATGAAGAGGTGTCCTGGTAAAAGGTAGCAAAATACCTTAATTTGACATTAATTAAAGCAAGGTATATGAAGAAGATGACACAGTTCAGGCATGTCTATTACAACAAATTCTTAACATTCATACTCAATAATTAGTTTTCTCCTCTCACATTGACTTTTTAGAAGAGAACACTCAAAAGAGTTTAGAATAACAAGGTGTATTAAGTAAATTTAAAATGTCAACATATGGATGTGCAGTATCACATCATTTATATATGAGACAGAGCTCAGGTCCATACTTTAATAACGTTTAATAACGTAGGGCCTTATTACCAGAGTATGAAAGTAACTGACATTAATGAATTTAGTGAGAATTCAATTAGAGAGAAGCAGAATGTGTGTACAGAGAGATGAAATGTCCAGCCCTAAGCTAAGACATTGCTAACAGAAGCAACACAAGAACTGAGAAGTCTGGGAATTGCATGCAGTGCCATAAACACACTACATTTCTTCTTGTTACAGTGGACAGGTGCAATATGAAACCTTTGAATCCTTGTAAGCCTCCAAAATAAGGGTCCAGGTTTGATACATAAGAACATCTCAATTTTGTTTTACATACATTTCAGATAATGAGTATTTTTAAGCATTTTTACTCCTGCACAGGATCACTGCCTAGTGGGTGTTTTAGAAATACTGTTTCTCAAAATATAAACAGTTTTAGTCATAATGCATACCTGAACTCTATTCTCAAGTATAGGAGTAACAGTTTTAAATCTTCTTGTGAGTTCCTCTAAATAAGGAAGCACACATTAATCAAAGCTTTTTCAGATTGGTATCTCCTTGTTTCTAACCAGCTGGCAACATACCTGCCAAACAAATTGGAAAGAAGCCACTTTTTTTTTTTATCAAAGAGAAGTTAAAAATACACAGAATTTCTTCCTTCTAGCTTTGTAATGCAAACTTTTGTTGACTTCTGAGAATTGTTTGTGACTGCCTCTAGTGCAATTCACTAAAACTACTGTGCTGGCTCTAAGTCAAATGTAAGTGCCGCCAGCCTTGCAATACTTTTATTTGTGCATGCAAAGGTCATCAAGCTGCAGCATTTCTAAAAGCTATACGATGGTTGAGCACACTAGCATACGGCTGTACTTCTTTTCCTTAACTGCATTCTTTATTCCAGGAAGGGCAGGGAGAGAGGACCTAGATGATACTTTGCTTCTGCTTTCAGAGGGCTGCACTACCACAAAGCAACTGGGAGCAAGGATACTGTATTTGATTTATGTTGCTTGACAGGAAACTATCCAAAATATCAGCACGTAAATTGCACACAAGACCAAGGATCATGTCACACCCAAATTCAACACAACTTCCATTGCAGATATCTAAATTAGCCCAACCTTAGCAGCAATCTAGTCCTTCTAGGTAAGTCCCCCCCCCGCTAGTTTATATATTGGGCATGACATGCTGTGGTATGGAATACCCCTTTGGCTAGTTTGAGTCAGGTGTCCTATCTCTGCTCTCTCCCGACTTCCCCTTCTCCCTGGCAGAGCATGAGACTCAGAAAGTCCCTTGGTCAGACTAAACATTACTTAGCAGCAACTAAAAACATCGGTGTTATCAGCGTTGTTCCCAGGCTGAAAGTCAAAACCACAGCACTGCATCAGCTACTAAGAAGGAGAAAAAATGACTGCTACTTCTCAACCCAGGACAATATCCACCCCTTATTCCATACCATCCACGTCATGCTCAGATCCCACATTTTTCAATATACCATCGTTTTTGTCTCATATGTGTGTATATATATGTGACCATCGCTTTTGTCTCATATGTGTGTATATATATATACACATAGACACAAAAAGACATATCATTCCTTAGTCCATGGACTAATCCCTATAAAGCTACTGAACTCATCCAGTCCATGATGACAGGCTCCATCTCTTCTAACAGTCTTTCAGAGCAGGAGAGATGATGCGCAGTGTTGGACTGTTGCCTGCTGATGACATTGCAGAACTCATCTGGTCACTGCTGAGCCCTTCTGGTTTCATCAAAGTGCATTCTTCGTTGAGACAATGATCGGACAAAGTCAGGGCCAGTCGCTGGTGACCTGAAGACATCTAGTTGGTGGGCTATAAAAGTGCTGCATAGCAGGAAAAAGCATATGAGTGAGTTAATTGGTTGTTTTCCCCTAAAATCAATTCCCCTTGAGGTACACACTGGACTTCCCCGTCTTACCGCATTACTCACCAGGTATATCCAGGTCCCTGAGCAAAAGCAATCCCACAAGTGGGTTTGCCTTTACTTGAAGCAGGAATAACCCAGACTATCTTCCCCAGCAAATTCTTCATGTGCACCAAAGGAACTTTGTCACCCTCTACAGTATGTAAAAGTTCTGATTGGGCTGGGCCAGCCCTGTTGGCAGATCCTCTGGTGTTGACCAATCAGGTGACTTTTGGTAAATGTGTATCCCAATGTTTGAAAGTCCCACCACCCATTGCTCTCAGTGTAATTTTTAAGAGCCCATTGTACCATTTGATTTTCCCAGAGGCTGGTGCATGATAGGGGATGTGATATACCCACTCAATGCCATGCTCTTTGGCCCAAGTGTCTATAAGGTTGTTCCAGAAATGAGTCCCGTTGTCTGACTCAGTTCTGTCTGTGGTGCTGTGTTGCCACACAATCTGTTTCTCAAGGGCCAGGATAGTGTTCTGGGCAGTGGTGTTGGGCACAGCGTATGTTTCCAGCCATCTGGTGGGTGCTTCCACCATGGTACGCACGTAGCACTTGGCTTGGCGGGTTCGTGGGAGTGTGACATAGTCAATCTGCCAGGCCTCCCCTTATTTGTACTTCAGCCATCATCCTCCATGCCAAAGAGGCTTGAACCGTTTGGCTTGCTTAATTGCAGCACGTTTCACACTCATGAATAACCTGGGGAATAGTGTCCATTGTTAAATCCTATCTTTATGTTGCATCTCTGCCCTGATGGCCTGAAGTGTCATGGGTCCACTGGGCCAAAAATAATTCACCCTTATGTTGCCAATCTAAGTCCATCTGAGCCACTTCAATCTTAGCAGCTTTATCCACTTGTTGGTTGTTCTGGTGTTCCTCAGTGGCCCGACTCTTGGGTGCATGAGCATCTACATGCGCACCTTCACCACCAGGCTCTGCACCGGGGCAGCGGTGTCTTTCCACAGTGCAGCCGCCCAGATGGGTTTACCTCTGCATTGCCAGTTGCTCTGCTTCCATTGCTGCAACCACCCCCACAGGGCATTTGCCACCATCCATGAGTCAGTATAAAGTACTGGCCACTTTTCTCATTCAGCAATGTCCAAGGCCAGCTGGGTGGCTTTCACCTCGGCAAACTGACTCGAGTCACCCTCTCCTTCAGCAGTTTCTGTAACTTGGCATAGGGGACTGCATACAGCTGCCTTCCATCTCTGATGCATTCCCACCATACAGCAGGATCCATCAGTAAACAAGGCATACTGCTTTTCACTTTCTGACAGTTTATTACATGGTGGGGCCTCTTCAGCATGCATCACCTCCTCCTCTGGTGACCTTCCAAAATCTCTTCACTCTGGCCAGTCCATGATGACTTATAGGATTCCTGGGTGACTGGGATTTCCTGTTGAAGCTCGTTGCATAATTAGTGCAGACCACTTACTCCATGTAGCATCGGTTACATGATGCGTAGGGGAGACCCTGCCTTTGAACATCCAGCCCAGCATGGCCAGCTGGGGTGCCAGGAGAAGCTGTGCTTCAGTGCCAATCACTTCTGAAGCAGCTCGAATCCCTTCATAGGCTGCCAGTATCTCTTTTTCAGCTGGGGTATAGCTGGCCTCAGATCCTCTGTATCCCTGACTCCAAAAGCCGAGCGGTCCAGGTAAGACCATTCTCCCTGGCTGTAGTGTAGAGTACATTTTTTACATCTGGCCTGGTCCGAACTGGTCCAAGGGCTACTGCATGATCTATCTCGCGTTTAGTTTGCTTAATTTGTTGTTGCTCAGGGTCCCATTTAAAATCATTCTTCTTCCAAGTCACGTGATAGAGAGGGCTTACAAACTGTAATTTGGGATGTGCATTCTCCAGAACCCTACAACACCCAAGAAAGCTTGTGCTTCTTTCTTATTAGTTGGTGGAGACATTGCTGTTATCTTGTTGATCACATCTGTGGGGATCTGCTGACATCCATATTGCTGGTTTATTCCCAAAAATTGAATCTCCTGTGCAGGTCCCTTGACCTTACTCCATTTTATGGCAAAACTGGCTTTCAGCAGGATTTGGATTATTTTCCTCCCTTTCTCAAAAATTTCTTCCTCTGTATAGCACCACACGATAATGTCATCAATGTATTGCAGGTGCTCTGGAGCTTGCCCTTGTTCCAGTGCAGTCTGGATCAGTCCATCGGAGATGGTAGGGCTGTGTTTCCACCCTTGGGGCAGCCAGTTCCAAGTGTACTGGATGCCCCTCCAAGTAAAAGTGAACTGTGGCCTGCATTCTGCTACCAGAGGAATTGAGAAAAATGCATCGGCAATATCAGCTGTGGCATACCACTTAGATGCCTTTGACTCCATTTCATACTGAAGTTCTAGCATGCTTGATAAGGCAGCACTCAACGGTGGCATGACTTCATTTAGGCTGCAATAGTTACTGTTAGTCTCCACTCTCCGTTAGACTTTCGCACTGGCCACATGGGGCTATTAAAGGGTGAGCAGGTCCTACTGATCATTCCTTGGCTCTCCAGCCTACGGATCAGCCTATGAATGGGAATCAGGGAGTCTCAGTTGGTGCGATATTGCCGCCGGTGAACTGTTGTGGTCGTGATTGGCGTTGTTCTTCGACCTTCAGCAACCCCACAACACAAGGGTCCTCTGAAAGACCAGGCAAGGTGGACAGCTGGTTAATTCTCTCTGTCTCCAAAGCAGCAATACCAAAAGCCCATCGGTACCCTTTTGGGTCTTTGAAATACCCTCTCCTGAAGTAGTCTATGCCAAGGATGCATGGAGCCTCTGGACCAGTCACAATGGGGTGCTTTTGTCACTTCCTCCCAGTCAGGCTGGGAGTACAGTCAACTCTTGGGATCCTCCTGTCACTCCAGAAATATAAATGGGTTCCACCCCTTGATAGTTTGATGGCATCAGGGTGCACTGTGCACCGGCATCTACTAGAGCCTTGTACTTCTGTGGAACTGATGTGCCAGCCCATCTGGTCCACAGAGTCCAGTAAATCCAATTGTCCCTTACCTCCACCTGGCTGGAGGCAGGGCCCCTCTAATACTGATCACAGTATTGATCACTTACATCCTGTAGACAGGGATTAGTCTTCTTTATCACAGGAGCTGGAGTAAAATCAGCTCTTCCACTCCATCTGGGAACCTGCTCACCAGAGGCTGAAGCTGCAGCTTTCATGGGATGATCATCTTTGACCGTTGTTCTCCTTGTCAATTCACACACCTGTTCTCCAGAGCTGAGGTAGGTTTTCCATCCCACTTTCTCATGTCTTCTCAGTGATCCCACGGGTAAAACCATAGGGTGGCCCGTGGCATGTACCTCCTATATCTTCTCTCTCGAGCAGTAGGACGCCTTTTGTTAATAGCTGAGACATGGGTTGGTACATGTGGGGAGCTGGATAGATCAGATAGATCATCTCTCAATTGTTTGAGCTCCTGGGACACTTTTTCTGCAGCTGAAATGATGGAAAGGGTAAGACTGCCTTTGAATGCTCAGAGTTGATGAATCACTTCATCCACTGTTGGTGGTACTACGTCATGCCAAGTTATTGATGCCAGTGAGTGGTCTTATGATGATAGTGCACTCTGCATAAGTTACCACTACATGGGTTTTCTACAGACTTCACCTGGATCTAAAGATGCATTTCCAGCATCCTGCCTACAATAGATCATCTCTAAGATGGCTGATTCCCTCAGGGACTGGATGCCTTTCTCTACTGTAGTCCAGTTGGCAGGATGACTCATAACATTGTTCTTGCAGGGAAACCTTTCTTTCACAGCTGCCAAGAGCTGCCTCCAAAGGCTGAGGGACCATTTTTCTGTTGCAATCACTCTGTAAATTTCCCCTTCCCTAGCAAGTGATCCTAGCTGCTTGGCTTCCCTACCTTCTAGGTCGTGACCATCAGCCCCATTGTGCCAGCATTGGAGCAACCAGGTGATGATATGCTCTCCTGATTGATGGGTAAAATCTTTTCACATATTCCGTAGCTTGGTTGAGGTCTGGGGTCGAGAAGTCACCTGTTCTTCTTCCTCTTTCTCTGATTCATGTAATAATAATTCTTGTTCAGATGCTGTCCCATTTAGTAGGTGAATTGGTTCCTCATCTTTCTTCACTGTACAGGTTGCTCTTTGTGCCTCTTTTTTGCTTTTCCCCTTGCTTACAGGGGCAACTGATATTGGCAAATATTGGTCTTCTGGTTTAGCTGCAGTGATTATTACTGTGGTTGGAGTGTCTGCAGTATCTGGTGTCGGGGTTGGTGCAGTTGCTGTGCTTAGGGTTTGAATAGCACCAGCAGCTGCGCGGTCTGTTGCTGTCGGAGTTTGGGTAGCTGCTGTGCTTGTCGCTGGGGTTGGTGTAGTTGCTGTGCTGGGAGTTGGAGTATCTGCGTTGTCTTTTCTAGTCAGAGTCTGAGTAGCTGCTGTACTTGTCACTGGGGTTGGTGTAAGTGCTGTACTTGGAGTAGCTGTATTGTATGTTGCTTTGCCATCAGATCCAGAGACATCTTCTCCCCTTTGAAGGTGCTGGACAGTGTTGAACAGGGCTCTGTAAGCATAGGCCAAACCCCAGCACGTTGCCATGATGTCTGTTTTGACCAGGATGACAACACACCTCATTTAAGTGTTTTACTAGTTTTTCTGGATTTTGCACTTGTTCAGTGGGGAAGTTCCAAAGCACTGGAGGGGCCCACTGGCCTAGATACTTGCCCATACTACCCCACACACCCTGCCACTCATGACTGTCCAGCCTCAGGGAAAATCTCTTGCTCCTCCTATACCATCGTCGTCTAACCCTAGACAAGACCCAAACCCAACTATGCTTAACTTTTGAGATCAGACAGAATGGCTGTGGGTAAAACACACTCTGTATGTGTGCCAACATGATGACCCCCATCACAATCAGCAGGCAGGTCTCAAGGGTATCCAAAGGCCATTTAAATCCTTCAGAACTCTCAAATGATGCTGTAAAAGTCTGGTGGGAGAGCTAGGGGTGTAAGGGAATGTCTCCTTCATAGGCTGACCACCCGAGGAGGAAACAAAAGATTTCTAATTACTACATACCTCCATTATATACTTCTCAGAGTACTGAGGTGACGACCACACTGGGAACACAAGCCAGATCAGTTTCATGATCAATGAGTCTATTGTATTACAAGTCATTACCATAAAGTACAGTGAAACAAGAACCTTAGCCGAGGTCCCCCAGCTGATAAACACTAAAACAGCAAACACCGACTCTAAGTAAGGTACGACATGCTGAAACTGTGAGATCAAGGATGTGTGGTCCCATGGAGAGAGAAGCCTATGCTGGAGCAGGTTTGCTGCAGGACTTCAGATACTGCAGGGGACTGATGCTGGAGCAGTCTATTCCTGAGGGACGGCACCCTGTGGAAGGCACCTAAAATTAAGCAGTTCAGGAAGAACTGCAGACTGTGGGAAGAACTCGGAGGAAGTTCATGGAGGATTGTCTCTTGTGGGAGGGACCCCACACTAGAACAGGGGAAGAGGGTGAAGAGCCCTCCCTCCCTGAGGAGGAAGGAGCATCAGAGACAAGGTGCGATGAGCTGACCCCCATTCGCTGTCCTGCTGCACTGTTCTCAGAGGGAGGAGGTAGAGAATTCAGGAGTGAAACTGAAGGGAGATGTAGGGAGAAGGGGGTTTAAGATTTGGTTTTATGTCTCATTACCCTACTCTGATTTTGTCTAGTAAGAAATGATATTAATTTCCCCAAGTTGAGTCAGTTTTGCCCATGACAGCAGTTGCTGAGTGATCTCCTTGTCTTTATCTGAACCCACAAGCCTTTTGTCATGGTTTCCTCTCCCTTGTCCAGCTAAGGAGGGGGAGTGATAGAGCAGTCTGTTGGGCAGATGGCATCCAGCCAGGGTCAGCCCACTACTCCACTACTCCACTGCTCTGATTAAGCAGCATGCATAAGAGGGTAAAATAACTGATGGTGAAATTTTCTAAACTGCATATTTGAGAATATACATGGCCACCAACTAACTCATCCCACTATTATCAGAATAAAACCTAGAAGGAAGAACTAATAAACCCATTAATTTTCAAGATATAGCTTAAAAACATTAATTAATATCATGAGATTCTCACTGATTCCACCCCCAGGTCCTGAATGTTCAGATGAAAAATACCAGCTCTGGACACTACTGTAGCTGGGGTTGCAGTTCTTCAAAGGTGTACCTCAAATAACAGCCACACTGACAGAGTCACAGGGACATGTTCATTGATTGTAAAGGTCAGAACCTAGAAATCATCAGTAAATTTTTCAGCAAAAGCAGGCTAAGGTACACTGTCTAAAAGAACACGATCAGGGCAATCATATTCTAGCCCTGAAAAGGAGCAACACAATGCATATCATGCACTATTTCTTGAACTTAGCTAAAAACTTTGTTAAAACTTTGCTATAGTTTTTTCTTTGTTTATTTGTTTTTGTTACTTCAGAAACAGAGAGGAAGACAAATTCAAGAGTACAAATTCAAGAGGTTTTACTTGATCTTGTTTGAGTTTTTTCACAGTTTAATTCAAAAGATGACTAGCCTGCTTCACCAATGTGAGTTCTTCTGAAAGCTGCTAAAAAGCAGGGGAGGTAAAGTCCCTTGTTGTCAATGGAAAGAAACAGAAAACTATTCAGAGCAGGAACTTAAACTTAGGTGCTTTGTAATGTCCCTTGGAAATGCCACTTTCTGTCCATTATCTAAAGTTAGGCTATATGGCTAGCCCCAGAAAGACACCTTGCTGAGTAACCAGAGACCACGCCACTAAATAAGCTTTCCTACCTTATAAATGTAAGAGAATGAGTTAAACTACAATCACCTTCCTGAAGTTACATTCAGATTTTAGATTTACAGAATTTCAAACATCCAACCAAACTGGTTTAGCTGAATAATGACTAAGAAGGGAATAAGAAGTCTGAATATTACTGCTAGTTCTTAAGTTGACTCTAATTTCCTAACACCAGCCCCCTTAGGACAGTGATGTAAGGACTTCACCAATGGAAACTTTTATCTATTTTACTGAGAGTCTTTCCAAATACCGGTTTCAAGAATTACATGGTGGACATCTTGATTTACATCAACTTAAACACTAGGAGGCACAGTCACCCTTACAGCATACGTAGGCTATTATAAGACCTTTTTGTTGTACAAAATAAGCAAGACACTGAGTATTAAACAGATGCTAAAATATTAGTAAGCAATAATAATAAAGTGAAAAATAAAAATTATAAGAACAGAAGAAAAAAAGGAATGCATACTTCAAACTATTCACAGAAAAAAAAAAAAAGAGGAAAATGTGAAAACAGGTAGAAGGGAAGCCATTGTCCTTAACTTCTCACCTTGTTATAATCCATAAGTGTCGTGCGACTCAGTCCACATAGGATCTATACACCTATATAAAACTCATCATTTAGGCCCCTCATGGGTAATATTAGTTTGCTCTCTTAGAAGAGATGACAGAGGACCTGTAAATTATATTTCAACACAATCGCACCACTTTAGTGCTTAAATAACAACACTGCATTGCAGTTAAAACTTCAGAAAACTTCATGCATCACTGAAAAAGAAGCTTTTGTAGCATCAAACCCATGCTTTTTTCCTTTGCTTGCTTATTAGATCACTATTCAAAGTAAAATGAAAAAAAATGTTTTCAGTGAATACTTGATACAGCAAAATGACTGCATTTTATGTAATAATGACCTATTTCTGTTTTGATTACAGGAGAGTATGGTATTAGTCTTAATTATATGGGTGAGAAAGAGGAGGTTTCAAGGGTCTGGGGAGAAAACAACTTTCCCTTTAACGCAGCTGAATCAGCACTCTTCAGGCTGCCTGCTAGCATCTTGCCCTGCCTTCCCATCCAGTTGTTCCACAACAACCAGTGCTATGCACCCACATCTCATTGCATCAGAACACAGAAAAAAACACAAGAATTCAGTACACCACCTTCTCTGAACTCTGGCATTGTCCATTTCTGATGGAGATCAATGGCCCCAGGAAGAGGTCAATTAAAAAGGTTTGCTACTTGCCATCTTTCTATTCTTGGGTTGCATGGTGTATCAAACCAAACAGTTCATCAGTTGATGGAACTTTTGGGTTAAGGTCATTCTGCACAGGTTTTTCTTTCATGTTCATGTATGTGTGATGAAGAACTTTCAGCATCTGAAGCAGAGGAACAAGCTGCACATTAGTGATTTAATTTTGATACAACAGGAATCTTTCTTGACTTTCTTCTGAGTTGTGTCTCTGATTGAAAATCTCTGGCCTTAGTCAGCTGTTCACCTTGACTCACTCACTCCTCTGTGCTAGCTTAGTTCCATATTTCTATTAAGACGGACTCCCATTCTGATACGGCTGTCCTCTGCAGTTGATTCTAATAGGAAGTGTTAAATGGAGAACAAAATCCATGCAGCTGCCAACATTTAGCAGCAGAAATAGGCAAGTATTACCTATTAGAAGTATTTGTCTAATGTTTTGGCAATATATTCCACTATTTCTGTCTAGAAGCCTAATCAAACTATCCAGCTGTTTCTTTCAGAAAAAAAAGTATTACTTAGCTTATCTGTCAAATTGAATGCTCATTACTTGGTGCCACAATTAATTTTCCTTTGGGACATGCTAACAACACAAAATGTAGAATTTACTTGCAATGTTTGAGCTTCGCCACTTCACATTATGTGGCTGATTGGGTGGCCTGAAGAGGCTTCTACTACACAGTAGTCTAAGTCAAGAGCAACACGCAGAACTTTTTCTGCAAGAGCCATGGCGATTTCTTTACACTGTAACATAGAAAACACATTGCGTAGGTAGGCAGGTACCTCATTCTTTCTGGTCCATGTATTTCCAACAACACACACAGAGCAACACACTGCCAGTAGTTCCTTCAGCTGAACAGCCTATCACACAGAAGGGATACACGAGTGCTATTCCTCTCCTGTTTTCCTTCTGATTAGAGAGACATAATTATTCACAAAAATTACCTTCCCCTCCACTTTCCTATTCCCTTTAAGAGGAAAAAATGAACTTACACCTTCTTTGACATATTGGCCTCTGCTCAGCTGATGTTGCATTAAGCAACTTTGTCTCTCAGAAAATAGGAAGAGAATTGGCTTAATAATGCAGTTACCTCAACAACAACAAATCCTATCCTGCTAGACAGCCATACAGTCCTGTAGGATTGTGCCAACCCAGGGATAGAGGACAATCATCACAATTTTGCCATCAATTTAGCAGAGAGAATTCCACCCTTAGAACATTTGGGCAACTATATTTTGGTAAAATACAGTATCAATTCACTGAAGGAATACACTTTTTCAAATAAATAGTTCTGCAAGCCACAGAATGAAAATAGCTTGTCTGCTTATGGATTTCTGTTTTAGTGAAGAGCATCCACACTGCTTTTTCTAAAGCCTACATTCCAAATCCACACCTTATTTATATATTTTTGCTCCCTTACTCTCCTTTTCCTTATAAATAATCATTAACATTTAATTTGCTATGGAGTACAAATGCTTGGTAGTGTATGCAAACATGGTTGTCACCGTAAACAGATTTTTTGAACAGGATATATATTTCCTTACAGGCATATATATTTCTTTACAGGCATATATATCATAATGTTGAGCATTACTGCCATGACAGGATGCCTTTGAAATACCGAGATACTGAGGACACCTGATCAATACTGTAACATACTCAAAAATAACCTTCATGTCTAATACAACCCTTTTGCAATTATTCTGATTGAAACACTTAAAGGGAGTAATTAAAGGCAATGAATTCTTTTACTTTGAGAATAAAGCTCTCTTCAGGCTGCAAGTAAAGCTCCAGGGTAGATTGTTTAACAATCTGTTCAAATCGTAGGCTCTTCTTTCTCAGAACATCCAGAGCTGGAAACAGGTCACTGATCAGGTCCATGAAAATTAGAATATAATGTGTCACTATTTTAGGCAAATTGAAATCTCTTAAGGCTCTCATAAGTACCTGGAAAAGGATGATAATCCACATATTGCAAGAGCATTAAATCCTTCTCTTTTTAGAATTCTGTTTTTATCCAAAAGCAAAATACAAGAAATGGCTCCTACTCTTCGATGATTTCAAGTGAAGACTTTACCTTAAGATTTCTCCTTGATTTTTCTTTCTGAGTATCTGCAATGAAAGTTAATCTCCACATCTTAGAAATGATACAACTTGGCAAATAAGACAAACATATAGCTGATTAGGAAAACAGGAAATTTAGGAATATACTGAGCTTAATGAATAAGGATTTTTTTTTTTCAAATTTTTTCTTGGATTGCTGTCTAGTGGGTTGTTAAAGAGCAAGCTGCACAGCCTAAGAGCAGCCTGCTACATGGATTGTCCTGTGTACAAGGAGTTTAAGACATCCAGGTTATTTGCTACAGCACCACAGGACCAGAAGTGTCTTCCTTCACAGCATATGTACTGTAAGCCATGACAAATCTGTTTTGAAACAGTTTTCATAGGCTAGGATCCTAGTGCCCCACAGGTATGTTGAAAGTCCTAAAAGCCCCAACACTGGACCAATATTTTCAGAGCTCTCTGAACTGCTGTGTATTTTCTGTAGCAGCCAAGAATTTTTGCCAAAAAAAAAAAAAAAAAAAAGACTCAAAAGGAAAAAAAAAGAACATTCTAGCTTTTGCTTCATAAGTTAATATTATTACTATTATTAATATTGAAGTGGCAAAAAATGGTATAAATGATTATTCTGATATGAAAAAAAAAAAAAAAGACTCCAGGACAAAATAATCATTATAGTCTAGGAATCCCTGTTTTGGTAAAACAGACAGTATCAACCTCTTTAGATATAAAAAAATTAAATTAATTATTTCTAGAAACATTGCAAGAATGAGCCACAAAAACTTCAAGACATTTACAGATAATTTCAAAATTATGCAGGCATAAAAATATAGATGCTTTTGTTTTCATAATGGCCCTGCTTGCTAGAGTTTATGGCTTAAGGTTGAAGGGTTTTCCAAGTTCTTATTCCACTAATAAAACTTAATGTTCAGAATGTCTTGTAAAAAAAATGTGCAGTTGAAAATAAGTAAAGAGCATACATATAGGTAAGAAATTATGCACCTTCCAAGTTTTGTAACTTGTAGATTTTTATGAAAATTATTATGAATATTAATTCTTGTAGTATAATAATATTTTTGCAATGCTTTCTATCCATTTTTCAAACAGTCCTCCACTGTGTTTACTGGGGAAAATTTAAAGAAACATTTAGCCGTATAGTATATTGTTTGTTTTTCAGAATAATTCTTACTGCTAAAAGGTTTTTCTCTTACCCAAGAGATAGTTTTATTTCCAGGAGAGGTATGACACAACAGCACAATGTAGGTTGGCCATCATAAGCTGATATACAATAAGCAGCAATATACAATTATTTAATGCAAAATCAGCACATTAGAAATGTCTCAAGATCAGAGGAAAGGCACTTACTTCCATATTCATATCTGATAATTTAATAAGGATGGACATGTAATTTAAAGTGCCTTCAAAATATAAGGTAAGACTATACACACAATCGCCTCTATTATTATACAATGTCTCAGATGCACTGGTATGTGTTAACTAACACAGAAAACCCGAAGCCCAAAGAGACCCTCACTGCTGATTGTTAGTATTCAGAAACATTACTGCACTCAAAGAGGAAACTCAGAAACGCAGGGCTTGCAAGACAGATACTACCAAAACTTAGAGCAGGCACCATCTGCAGCAGCATTGCTTGCCAGTGACAACTGGAGTTCATGGCCAGCAGCTGTACAGGGTCTAGAAGTCAAGTGCAATACCCTGACATTGCTAAAAATACCATTGTTTCTTAATGGACTTCAGTTTTTGGAGGGCTTTAATGCTTTTATATGACATTACAGTTGTCTTTGGAGGCTTCACTCTTTCTTTTGTAAATATAACTTTCTATTCAAACTTTTAGAACAAAACCACAACCATTTTAATGAGATAAATGAAAAAAATCTCCAGTTAAAAAAGTACCACAAAGCAATAATGCAAAGGCTAAACAATTTCTTCATTAAAAATCACTACTTAAGTTACATAGTGGCAAAGAAGAGATCTTGAATTGTGTGTTCAGGTCAGCTACAAGACAGCAATTTGTCCTTCAGAGTACTTTTCTTACTACTGACAAATACAAAGGTTTCTTTTGTTCCCCATTCATATTTAAATATGACAAAATGTAGAGCAGTGGTTTACTCCAGCATGGTACTTCTGGCAGAAATAGGTAACATATAGTCTAGAAAAAGAGTAAGCACTCTGCTGTTAAACTATTTTTAAGTAAACTATTAGCTAAGAAGCATTTTTTCACAAGCCCAAACTAGGGCTGCTATATGCATTGCAGCCAACTATAAAAATGTATATGCTCTCCTACCTACCATAACTCCTTTGTTCAAATAGTATAACTGCTTGCACAAGAAATATCAGGCTAGCAGCACTTAATGTATCTTCTCTCCATTCTTTAATATATCCTTCTTTCACCTAATAAGGTGGCAAATATGTGGAGTCAATGCTTTATCAGTTACCTCCCACCTTTCCTGTGCACTGTTCAATGGATAAGAGCTATTACAGACTTCAGCTACCGAGCTCAATTCCTCATTTCCAAATGCAGCAGATCATACTTTAATTCCAAATGTTTTTTTTTATTTTATGTGACAACCAAGATAACACTTTGGTTCTATGTAGCAAGTACATTTTTAAAACCATAATGGAAATCACAACAAATAATAATTTGACTGTATCTAGCAGTAGAAATATTGTTAAGTAATATTATTTCATATCCCTTGCTCTTCATATCCCTTATACCCACTTGGTATGCAGCAGTCCTGCTTTGTCTTGAAGACTTAGCAGCTAATGAGAAGGCTTGGTAAAGCAACAGCTAAGTTGTGAAATACTATAACCACCACCACCAAAAAACAGTTATGGGAAAGCAGGATCTCCTTCCATTTGCTGAGACCCAACTATGGGGTCTGACTCAGCAACAGTCTTTTTGGAGGCCCAGGAATTCAAATCTTAACCTCCCCCTTGTAAACAGATGTTATTTAAGTGCTTGTTACAAATCACTGCAACTTAGGCTTAAAGAATAAGAAAGCTAATTGCTGCTACTGCTTGGTCTTGCCATCTGAAGCAGGATGTTTGGCTGGCAAGGGGATGAGATGTGTCTGATGAAAGATGAAACAGCTTTCTAACTTCAGCAGACTTCACGTCTTTCTGCAGTGAAATCATGAAGGAGTATGGCGTCAGGAATTCGATGGCTAAAGCAGAAATAATAAAATACACCAAAATCTTGATGCAGTTTTAATACAGAAGGAAGTAGTACCTGTGTTTCAACCTGCTCACAGATGTAACAGTGATGCCTGGTTCTCCTCTAAGTTTCTATCTTTTAAATATCAAAGGGATTTACTGCTCATAGAAGCAGATCCTAGATAGCACATTGATACCCGCGCCTCTTCAGCGTGGCAATGCCTTGCAACTTGCCCCATTGAACCTCAGTATGCTGAAAAATGAAATCACAGAATATTTTTTTTTCTCAAGTCTTGATTTAATCAGTGAAAAGGGTTAATGCAAGAGCAAGAATTTCAAGCAACAACTTTTTTTTAAGCAAGCCATGCAGCTCCAAAGCTTTGTCAGAATAAATTGGCATCATTTTACTGCCCATCCTGGTAGAGCAACTGTTTGTGGAATTAATTCACTCTCAGAAAACACCATTTTGATACAAATTCACCGAGCACAGGATGCAAAATGCAGTCAGGTCTTTTAAATTCAGAACTTTCTTTTTTTTTCAAACTACTGTTAAGATATAAAGCATAAATCTGTACTTTAACAAAAAGATAATGGACTGTCCTGCAGTACCCAAAAGCATATGAATTTTTCTTCTTCTGAACAACCACATATTCAGTGTCTTACTAGGTAAGAGCGTGCGGTTTCTTTTCAACTGCTAGTTATGAAACATGTGAACACTTCCATACCTACACCCATGGAAGGATGTAATAGCTAGACAATTTTCAAATGGTCTTTCTACTAGGCTAAGCCAGCTTTAAGGATTCCTATTTACCACAGATCAATTAATATTCTTGCACATTTTTAGGTACATTCCCTGTGTTCACAGATACTTCTAAAACAAAGTAGACTAAACAAAAAAGCAAGTTATACATTTAACTTCCTTTCTCATTACACTGTCTAGGTGGGCACAACATGAATACTGATTTTCTTCACAGAAATCCTGAAGGAAACAAATTGCACTTCACTGCAAAACAAGATTAGTAACAGGTGGGATAGGTACTATAAATGTAGACTTGATATACTAGTATATCATAAATGTACACTATAATATACTTGCCCGAATAGAGCTTTGAGGTTTTCAGGTACTTCTGTCCAACCTACGTATCCTGAGTTCATGGTAATAAATATTGCAGCTGATGACTTTAATGTAATGTTTTCACCAAGGAATAAAAATCCATTATAAGAGAGGTAACATCAAAATTTTATCTGCGGATTAGATGTAAGCAACTGTATCCTACAAAGCCAGCTATCAGGGTTGCAGATGACAAAGGTGCATCTGGGCCTCGATCCTGTCCCTCACAACAGCCAAAAGCTAATAAAGTTTTTAGAGCTGAGCAAATAAAATTTATTAGAACTGAGCATCTCCCTAGTAGGCACCAGCCTTTAGTAATCTCTGACTGCTCTGGCCAGCACTGAACTTGGAAGGAAAAGACTGGGCTGTTAGAGCAACGAAGAGTGCACATGGCTGAAGTTCATCTATAGGAGGAATTATCTATTGAAACACGTAAAATAAATGGGAATGGGAAGGATGTGGTGAGTGGGCTTGAAAAGGCCAGAAGACAGCACTAAATAAAGGAAGCAGTGGAAGGAAAACACAAGGCTTGTCTAAAAAGCACTGTAAAAACCTGGAAACCCCAGGATTTCTTGCAAAGTTGAATACCATTAAACTTCTCACCCATATGATACAGTAATTTCATGTGGTGGGACTTGAACAGGAGCAGAGTTTCAACACTGAAGCTTTAACTGGATTTCTGGAGGGCCAGGAGTTCACTCATTTGTATTGCTACATTTTGAAGAGGAAGTTAT